ACATATCTACAGATCTCAGAACCAATTTCAGATGGGTTCGAGAACCAATTCAGATCAAATTCAGTTCAGCTCAACTCAACAATGAGCAACATGTTTCCAGTTTATGTCTTCAAGCCAGATTTCAATTCCACAACGGAAGATATTTGGCTGTCAGAATTCATCAACGGGCTTTCCCATAAAATGGGAGTCATCCAAAGATTGTCTTACTTGGTTCTCGCTCAGAGGAACCACCTGAAGAATCATGACCGGCTTCAACCCGTTAAGGGAAGCCATTTTTTAAACAAACTATTTGCAGCATAGCTTAAGTCGAGAAGGGCTATCTGCCAAAGACCCCCGAGTTCGATTACACTCAGCTTCGAGGGCACATCATTTACAGCATAACTCAAGGCTAGAAGGGTTATCTGTGACCAAAAGACCTTTGAGTTTGACTACGCTCAGCTTCGAGGGCACATCATTTGCAGCATAACTTAAGTCGAGAAGGGTTATCTGCCAACCAAAGACCTTTGAGTTCGACTACGCTCAGCTCCAAGGCACATCATTTGCAGCATAGCTTAAGTCGAGAAGGGTTATCTGCCAAAGACCCCCGAGTTCGATTACACTCAGCTTCGAGGGCACATCATTTACAGCATAACTCAAGGCTAGAAGGGTTATCTGTGACCAAAAGACCTTTGAGTTCGACTACGCTCAGCTTCGAGGGCACATCATTTGCACATTACTTAAGTCGAGAAGGGTTATCTTCCAACCAAAGACCTTTGAGTTCGACTACGCTCAGCTCCAAGGCACATCATTTGTAGCATAACTTAAGTCGAGAAGGGCTATCTGCCAAAGACCCCCGAGTTCGATTACACTCAGCTTCGAGGGCACATCATTTACAGCATAACTCAAGGCTAGAAAGGTTATCTGTGACCAAAAGACCTTTGAGTTCGACTACGCTCAGCTCAACGACACATCATTTGCAGCATAGCTTAAGTCGAGAAGGGCTATCTGCCAAAGACCCCCGAGTTCGATTACACTCAGCTTCGAGGGCACATCATTTGCAGCATAACTTAAGTCGAGAAGGGTTATCTGCCAACCAAAGACCTTCGAGTTCGACTACACTCAGCTCCAAGGCATATCATTTGCAGCACAACTTAAGTCTAGAAGGGTTGTCTGCCAACAAAAGACCTTTGAGTTCGACTACACTCAGCTCAACGGCACATCATTTGCAGCATAGCTTAAGTCGAGAAGGGATATCTGCTAAAGACCTTCAAGTTCGATTATATTCAACTTAGAGGCAAATCAAGCTTACAGAATAGCTCAAGGCAAGAAGGGCTATCTGTCAATAAAATTGTCGAGTTCGATTCCAATCAGCTCGATGACACCTCAATCACACTACTTTCCGGCTGCAATCGAGGTTTTCAAAGTCAAGAAGAACACCTGGGTTAACCGTGCCTTAGTGACAAAAAATTGCTTTCCGACAGCATAGCTTAAGTCGAGAAAAGCCATCTGTCGACAAAGACCTTTCGAGTTCGGTTTTATTCAGCTCAAGGGCCTATCAATCACATGGTGGAGTCAAAGAACTACTTTCCAGTCGGATTTCTAAACCAAGGTCTTTAAACCGAGAAGAAGACTAAGATTGACTACAATTGGACAACGAAAAGTCACGTTCCAATTCAAATTCCAGACCACAGCTTCAATTCCATATCATTTCAAGATGGACTCGACTTCGCGACGGAGGAGCCATCCGCAACCCAATTCGACAGGGAGTTATTCTTCAACTCCACTGAACGAAAATTTGTGTCTTTTTATCTTTGTCCTATTTTTCGTTCCACGAAAAAGGACAAAGAGGGGCAGTTGTAGACACTCATTTTCGTCCATTTATTTATTTATCTTCATATATATATCTATATTATATAGTTTGCAAATGGATTTTATAAAATATATTTGAAAACATTTATATATTATATAGTTTTTTAAAACGTTTGTGAAAATAAATATAATATATAGTTTTTAAAACATTTTTGAAAACATGTATATTATATAGTTTAAAAACATTTTGAAAATATATAATATATAGTTTTTAAAACATTTTGAAAACATTTATATATTATATAATTTTTTAAAACGTTTTTAAAAATAAAATATAATATATAGTTTTTAAAATATTTTTGAAAATATATATATTATATAGTTTTTAAAACATTTTAGAAAACTATATAATTTTGAAAATATTTTTTTAAAAATATATAATATAATATTAAATGTTTTTAAAAATATATTATATAGATTTTTAGAAAATGTTCTTCTTTTGTTTTAATTTATTTACCTTTTTCTTTTTATTTATTATTATTACTTATTTTTATTTTACTTCTTCTGTTTCAGATCCGTTTGGGGTCCAATCTGTCCAAGACCAGGGTTCAATATTGGTTAAGCGGGCCTGAACTAGCCCAACAGCAGATTAGGGTTATCACGTATGTCCAGCGCCGCATATGATCTTGGACCGTTGGATCTGACCCAATCCAACGGTCGAGATCAAGGGTTCCAGAAGATCTAAAGTCACCGGTCAGCCGAGAATTCTGACCACGTGCAGCACCAAAATCGGAGCTACTCGGACTGAACCATCCGAGATCACCGAAAACCACCCCGAAATATCCGGGATCAACTCCAACCACGACCGGAAATGGCCCCAACGGGAGCCTATAAAATCAAGGCATCAACACTGCCACAAGGGATCAACGGGAAAAAACCATCAACAGTACACAACAGGATCCACAAAACCCACGAGGACATCATCGAACAAAATCGTCGAGACCCACGTCGAACATCAAACACAACCAGACCAACAGACAACACAGTAAACCAAAACCATCATCGGTACAACACAGCCAAATATCACAACACCAAAAACCACGAACCACAAGGCAAATACAGAAACAAAACCCAAAAAAACAAATACCAAAAAACACCGAAGGTAGCCCCGATCGAAGCGTTGGAACCGAGAAGAGCCGGTCGCCGGAAGTCGAAGAGTCTCATCGGAAAAAGGTGGGAACCGAGGGTTTTTATCTTAGATCTACGCTTACTGGGGTGTGTTTTGGGGATTTAGAGGTTGGGTTTGGGTTCACGGTGCGGAGGAGAGCATTCTGTGGGGGTTCAGATATTTTGGCCACCGCCGGTGATGGCCGGCGCGGTGGAGAGGCCACCGGATCTTGGCCGGGCTAGAGAGAGGCGAGGGAAATTTCGGTTCTCTCATTTTTAGAGAGAGAAGGGAAAAGTGGAGAATGAAGAGGAATGAGGGATTTGAGGTTTTGTTGGGGCTTAAATCTAGGAATCAAAACGACGCCGTTTTGAACCCCTTATCACCGTGTTTTTCAAAATTTTCGGGGATAATCTCAGCTTTAGTCCTCCTCATCTGGTAATCTCGCACGCGTGTCCCACATTTTTGGGAGTAACTATGATTTTGGTCCCCCGTATATTTTGTACATTTCATTTTGCCCATGAAAATCATTCATTCTTCGATTTACATTGAAATTGAACCTCAAATTTGATTTTATTTCAATTTAATCCTTTTTATTATTTCTATATTTTTATTTGTTTTTTATTTTTAGCATTATTATTATTATTATTCATTTATCTTTGTTTATTTTATCTCATTTTATTTCATCAGTTTATTTTTATTTTTTTCCTCTCTATTTTATCTATTTTTTTCCTTTTTTTGATTTAATGATTATTTTTCTTTTTTTTATTTCTACATTTTTCTTTGATCTATTCAACATTTATTATTCTTTGACTAACATTCCCGATCCCTTTTTTAGAGAAATTCACAATCAATCCAAGGTAAGTAATTTGAATCGAATTTCTAAATTTCAATTTAAATTCCAATTTTCGCAATTAAAGACAACCGACAAATTAATTGGTACCGAAAGGGCGGTTCAAGGGTGCTAATCCTTCCTTGACCGTAATTGACTCCCGAACCCGACACGTTTCTGGTACAACGCATATCAGGTAAGATGGTGTCTGGCCCACCTAAATTCGTTTTAAAGTGGTCGGTGACGACTCTAATCAACTCATTTCAAGTCGAAGCCCAATCTCGGGGTCCAACCGAAAGACGGTTCCGACAACTATATTTTTAATTTTTAATTTTATTCAATTGTACTTTACATATTGAATCATTTTAATTAATCTATCGTTATCTCTATAACGGTGTGATGATGTGTTATTATTTTATTATTATTTAATATAAAATAATTAAAAATATAAATGGTAAATTACATCGTTTCTTACTAAACTTTATTCTATTTTCTATTTTACTCATCCAACTATAAAATAAAAAATGGAAGGTGGTCAAATATCACCGCCGCCCACCGTAGACGGTGATCGTTCGGTCCCAAATTTCATGGGTCTCTTCGCCTCGACACATTGAGTCATCCGACCTCCGTTTTGTTAGAACTTACTCTGAAGTCAACGAAACAGAGATTAAAAGTGAAGAAGCCGAAACGTTTCAATCGAGATTCACGAATTTTTGGACATTTTTCGGTGAAACAACCACCATATTTGAACTCATGGGGTCGAGACGAACCGACCCATAAATTTTGGTACCGAATGACTACCATCAACTACGATTGAAATAAAAAATGACACGGTGATCGACAGTGGCAATGGGAGAAGAAGAGGATTCAAAACGTCGTTTTAGTGTATATTTGAGTTTTTCGAGACTTCGTAGTTTTGATACTTGTGTTATGTCATAATACTATTAAAAAATTAACGACAGAGTGAGTAAAATGATTAAATATATAAAGTTCAGTGAATAAAATTAAAAAATTAAAAATACGATAAGTAAAATGAAAAAGAAAGTAAAAACTGTATATTTTACTCAAATAAAAAATAATCTAAATTTTACAAATAAATAAATAAATATCAGACCAGATTGCAGTGAAGTGGCTGCTCCCCTCAATCTCATGCCTTTTCCTTCTTCTTCTTTTTTTTTTAAAAAAAATAATTAATTAACTAATTTATTTTCTCAGCCCCAAATTCCCACACGACTTCTCTTTTCTTTTTTAATTTTTTAAAAGTTTTCAATTTTGTGTGATTCTCTTGCGTCTTCTATAAATCACGCCAGACCTCTCTTTTTTCCATCCTTCCGTGTACGGTGTACCCTTGTCTCCATTATGTATTTTCTTTTTCTAAAGTTTTTGGGTTGCTCTCTTTGTACTAATTCATCTACTCCAAGAATTCCAGAGGCTCTGTACAGTTAAAAGCTAAGGTAATTTACTCTCCTCGTCTCCATTAGCTCTCTGTTGATCTTTTTGGTATAGTTGTGGCCTTTTCCCTCCAAAATGTCGGCTATGAATCATGTTTTCCTTGATCTGGACCATGTCTGTAGTGGAATCTAGATTTAGAAACTGGAGGCTTAATTTTTGTTTTCGTATCACTTTTGTTACGCCTCGGTAGATGTGTGAAGAAATTAAACAACGCTCTACTTTAGGTTTTTTTTTTGCTCTGAATTGCAATATAATTTGTTTTATTATATTGTGTGTGTAGATCTGTGGATTTAGAACTGCTTTGAAGTGATTTTGTGCGATTTTAATATTGAAAAAAATATGCAGTTATATCTTGCTTTCTATTTTAGGAAGATAATTTATTAATCATGTTGCTGCTGGCTGAACAGGGGAAATAATTGTTAATAATCGATAGAAAAAATCGTGAAAGGTGGATGATGAAGCAGTTTGTGATCCATAAAAACGCCATTGGAATCAGCCGTGAGGAGATGCAAAGCTCCATTCCGATGTCAGTTATGGTTACGGATCGGGGAGAGACTATGGTCTGTCCAAAACCACGTCGTTTGAGTCTCTTGAACACCTCCTTCAACGACCACCCTGTTAGGCCACTTAGATGGCAACTTAGGTAATTTTCCCCTCTTTATAATCCCTTCAACTTTTACTTATATTCCCATATAGGCTAAAGCAAAGAAATGGCAAATTGTTCTGTGTTTTTCAGTCATCAAGGGGGAGTTTTGTGATTCAAAACCAGGGAGTGATGTTCTGGATATGGTACTTACAAAGGTATGCTTCTCTCTGCTAATTGATTTATATTCATAAATTATGAACTTATTAACAAGTAGGAATTATAATGGCATTAGACACCCGGTAAATGATATACAAGACAGATCATGAGTTATATCGACTCCGTCTAAGTTTGATAAATAGGACTTGACTTGAGCTCGAGCTCAAATTAGAGTTTTTAACAAGTCGAAACAAACTACTTGAGACTCAACTCTAAAAGCTCTCGAGCAACTCGAAAATATAATATATTACGATTTTATTTTTTAAAATAAATTATTGATAACATTAACAAGGGACATCCTACTATCTTACCTCCCCTTTACCCCATTACATATGAGAACAAGGGACAACCATTATATATTAACATTTAAATGTTTATTTTTAAAAAAAATGCAATATAAGGTTTTTATGTATTTAAGGTTCATGTTCGAGTTTGAGGCTTTAATCAGGTTAAGTTTAAGATTTTTTTTTTCATTTCGAGCTTCAATTCATGGTTTCGAGTTCGAGTTTGAAAATTTTAGGCTCGTGAAGTTTTCGAGTCAAGTCGGGCTCCATTTTGGAGTTTTTGAGTCGATTTGAACTCAACAATACTCGAGTTCAACTCGGCTCGTTTACAGCCCTCCTAGACACTAGTAAATCATTCTTTAAATTATAAAGGAAACTAAGGTTTGGTCCCATAAACAATGGCGCGGCATCTCAATGCTAGAAATATGTTTACCAGCATTCCACTTGGTGAACACTAGAGTTACCTAAAGAATATAGTTATTAGAACTTCACGTTTTAGTACATCGTTTCTTATAAAATCCTTATGGCTCTTGGTTTTGGAATATAACAGGGTGACTGTGGACTGGAGGAGACTCCTACACAAGTAGCGTCACCGCCCCCATTTTTTTGTGGGTCGCCGCCGAGCAGAGTAGCTAACCCATTAATACAGGATTCCCGATTTGGGGATGAGAAGTTCACCACCTCACTTATATCGCTGTCTCTGATCCCACCTCCTTTGGGCCTGTCCTCGTCTCCATCGTCCGGTTCAAGGAAAGGGGGCCGTGTTCGAGCAAGTTTTGGGAACAAACCAGCGGTGAGAGTCGAGGGGTTCGATTGCGCCGAAATTGCGGCATCCCTGCACTGGCTTAGAAACAAGAAAAGTACATAGAGGACGATGAAGAGGAGCTTAGAACCCACCCCTGATGTAAATACTTTCGGAGGGGGTTCTTTGTATACAATGTAAATGAGTTTGTTGAAGAAAATGAAGCATAGAGCCGTAGTTTAGGTGTGGTGTTAGGAAACCATCCCGCAAAGATGGAAGATAGTTTGAGGTGTGTTGACGGTGTAGTGTCCCTGGTCCGGAAGAAATTTTTCATTTTCTGAGGTCCTTAAGTTGAGAATTGTCCATAAATCAAAGCAAGTAATCGAGTCTATTAGACATTAGGCAATATATGTTTATAATCCTATTATGTTTTTGCATTGATTCCATAATGCATATTCTATGATTTCAATTGATATTCAATTATACATATCATTTGAACACAAATATGAAGTAAATGTAGGATTATATTTTTAAATACTCTTAATAATTTAACAATGAACGTTAATATTTTTACATATGCAGTGCTCGAATTCGAATTTTAAGAAACAGATTAAAATACAATTTAACCTTGCAAAAGGGTTGAGAAACTTCAATAGGACGGTCATCATGTTGTGTGGGAAGTTAGACCGGGTACTCTGTATCCAATTGCCACCAAGCCTTAAATAACCTAACTAGTTGATGACACAAATTAATTATGCTAAGCCAAGTTGAGAAGTTTCCATAATTTTCTTATCTAGAACCAAGTCAGTTGCATATTTCTTACCTGCATGTGCCTTTGAATCTTCAATCACAGATAAATTCAAAGAACCAGGTCCAGACAGATGATATTTAATGGCATTATTCTATCACCGCGTTGTCCAAAAACTTTGCACACATTTTCTCACCTATATAAGTTCTCATCTTCTTCTTCTTCTTCTTCTTCTTCTCCTCCCTTGTTGAGAATCGAAAGAAGAGAAAACCATGAAGAGGAAAGGCAGTCCTAAGATGGAGGCCACGGGTGGAAAGAAGAAAAAGAGAGCGGCGGAAAGCAAGGAGGAGGGGGGAGGAGTAGCGGCGGAGGTGGAGAGTTCGGTGTGGTGGGCGGCGGATGAGCAAATGCCGTGGGCTTCGGCGTGGTCGCCTCTGTGGGATGTGGGTTTTGTGGACAAGGCCTACGCTGCATTTTTCGGAGATGTTGCTTGGGATGATGATATTTGGAACTTGAAGAACGTCATGGTCATACCCCCACCAATAAAACAAAGAATTTAGCAATACGGATTTTTTTAATAGTTTAAGGGTTATAAAATAATATTTATTTAAAATTTTTAATCATTGATAATATATTAATATTTTGTATACGTAATTATTCGAATCCAAATTTTCAATAGAGGAGCACTTGCAAGGAATAATAGTTAAGTTTGATAGCCTATTTTTCCTTTCAATGTTGTGTTCAGATACAACAAAATTTAGGGTAAAGTACATAAATTATTCCCTGACTATAAAATATTGTTTTGTAAGTCCCTTGATTATTAAAAGTTTTAAAATGGTCACCCGACTATTCATTATGTTCTAAAATCATCAATTTCTATTAAAAATTTGTGGTTGTCTAAGCTCAACGTTAATATAATGACTGAATATGATAGTCATTTGAGATTCTGAGATCAGATTTTATTATATCACAGCCAGCAAGTTAACGTTCAACTCAGAATACCATTAATTTTTTAAAAAATGAAGAGTTTGGAACATAATGAATAGTCAAGTGATCATTTTGTAACTTTTAATAATCGAGTGACTCAATAAACCAACACTCTATAGTCGAAAGACCATTTTATGTAACTTTTAATAGTCGAGAGACTTAATAAAATAATATCTTATAACCAGAGTATCATTTGTGTATATTATCCTGAAATTTAATATAATTCACTAAAAATGTTTAAATTTTAAATAAACCACTAATTTTTTTTCACGGTATTTCTTTAGTTTTGCCCATTATTGACATACTGTAAGTCTGTCATTTTATTATTTTTTGCGTACACTACGCCAAGGTTTACTAATATATAGGTAAGTATTTGTTTTCACTATTGATGTTTGAAAATCACAAATCGATCACTAACATTATCGTTTGTTACAAAATAATCACTCGACGTTAACAGCCGTTTACAGATAGTTACTACAGTAACAAAATTCTAACGTTGCACGTTAAACCAGCTGATTCAGTATGTTTGACTGACTGTTTGGCTACTCATCCTCCTCTTCTTCTTCTTATTCTCTGCCACTGAAAACTGAAAACTCTTCAGCTGACCAAAAATATCAGGGATCTCTCCAGAAAAATTATTCGAGGAAATATCGAATCGAACAAGGTTAGAGAGATTAGCAATACCAGGACTAAGCTTCCCACCAAGATTGTTATACTGAGCCCCAAAAGCTTCAAATTCAGGAGCTGAAAGATGTCTGCAGCTATCCCACCAGTGTGATCATTTGTGCCAAGATTATGTTCTTCCAAGAAAGAACATTTTCCAAAATCAAGGAACCGAATCCGAGAAGAATTAACACATATATGGGAAGGAAGAGAACTATTAAAGTAATTCAAAGAAATATCGAAACTTCGAATAGGAGAAAAAGTTAAAGAAAGTAGAGCCATGGCTAGGGAAGCAAGGGAAATCGAGAAAAAAGAATTGAAAAACCATAATGAAGAAGGCGACATGCTTGATGAAGCTTTGAATTCTAAGTCGAAAATCGGGATCAAATAGGAGATTGGTGCTAGATTGGATATGTTAGAGAAGTTGAATTCTAAGAGAGAGATTGAGAGCTTTCTAGGGTTGTTTATAGGTTTATTGAACAAGTTAAAGGATGGTGAAGATGCAAAAGATGTGAATAAAAAGTTGTTTGTGAAGAAGTTTAAATTCAGAGGGCCTGAGAAGATTTCTAGCAATGGCGCAAAGGGTTTTTCCGGTTTAAAGAACGGTAACAAATCGAGCTATGATAATGGCACAACTACTAGTGTTTCTGAGATTGAGAAAGTGGATGATGGAAAGACAGTTTAACGGTTTAGAAGAAGAAGAAGAATAGTCGGTCGGTCAAACATGCTGAGTGAGCTGCCACGTTAGCATTTTGTTACTGCAGCTACGATTGTTAACGGCGTGACTATATTATAATAAACGATAACGTTAGTGATCAATTTGTTACTTTTTAAACATCAGTTGTAAAAACGAACCCAAAATTAGTGACCATTGTCGTACCCTTATTTTTTTTGAACAAACTGTCATTTTATTACAATATAAAGAAAGAAAACCTTTATCTAGGAACCGACATGCAGTTTTTTTTAAACATAATCAACACAACTCAAGTGGGAAATGATTTTAGCCTTGGAATTGGAAGGTTGAATTTGATTTAATTAGGGCAAAAACTTAAGTCAAACAGACAAAATTGTTCTTTTAATCTCTGTCTGCACATGGCTTATTGCTTGAAATAAAAAAATATATCATTACATGATAATTCTCTCACCTCAAAAAGAAAAAACACAGGATTGCATCTCAGTGTGAAGCTGTACTTTAAGAGTATACATAACCATTTCTCCTTCTCCATCTATCTTCTTTTTCCTCTCTCTTATTACCTCTCCCCACACAAAACATTCAAAGAAAAGCAAGTGGGGGCATCTTTTATGTGGATGTATTTTCATGGGAAAGTGGTTTTCCAGCAGCATGAGGCCATTTTACTCCTCCACGTTGGTGGTGTTGTTGATTATCTTTGTGTTGCAGATTTGGGTTCTCCGTGATTACCAAGCTGGAGCTACAAGGATTCTTCCTGGAAACATGATGGAAGATGATAACAAGGGCCGAAGGGACTTGTTTCAAAAGTACTTCAATGGGAGATCCTTCAGTTTCAATGGAACCGATCAGGGATTTGAACAAGGCAAACGAAGAATTCCCAGTTGCCCAGATCCTCTACACAATTAGCAGAGTTTCTTTTCCAGGAAATTTGTTGGATGATATCCAAAATACCCCCGTTCTCCTCATCATTTTCATGCCACAGTTTTGATTGGTTTTAGTTATTCCAGGGGGAAAACGAGGGTATTTTGGTATTTGAGAACTTCATTTTTTTAGATTTTCATTCTCTTTGGAAGAGAATGATCTAGGACCAGAATTTCTATATAATTTCTGTTAGTGTATAGTTTCATGTTCATCACATTGAAACTGTTTCACTAGAATTTCTGTATGTACCTTCTTTCTATTTGATTCCTTCTTCTTCTTCTTCTTCTTTTTTATACCTAATGTATCTCTGAGTTCGAAAATTTTGATATTTCAAAGGTTAACACCTTTCTCCCCTCTCTCTTTAATTCCTTTTGCACCAATTTGAAATGTCACTGTTGCAACTTACAACACTGAAAAGTCAGAGCTTGTAAGCAATAAATGGAAAGGCAAAAAAGAGGGCATTTGATTCGCCTATATCCTTAAAATGAACTTGTTTGTGGAGTGACGATATATATATACTACAAAGAATCAAACTTCACACGCGATAATACAGTTAAAAGTGGAGGGAAAAGGTAAAATCTTTTTGAAAGTTCGATGGGGTTTAGTACTTTGTATAGTTTGGAAACATGCACGAATCCCTTGTTGAATCTTGCAGTTAAGAAACCTTTGTCGTTTTAAGGGGGGGAAAAGTGGGTGAAGACAAGCTACCATCGAGTGCAGACAGGTGAAAAGAGGAAGAGACGAGCAAGGTGACAGGAGTGTCGGTGTCTGGTAAATTTGTGCGGGAAATCAAGGCATTGAAACCGACGAGGGATGGGAGGAAAAAGCCACGTATTATGCGGACAAATAAGTTGGAAAAGCTGCTGCTCATTTCGTAGCTGCACTGGCTTTGTTTGCTAGTGTTTGGATTTGGTATCAAATTGCTCTCATCGACACTTGATTTAGCACATCAATGCACGTATTTGCTAACACCTCGAAAATGGGGTTTGAATTCTAGATATAGCATCTATTTCCCTGTTTTATAATTGTAACTTCTGTTTTGAAAATCGGATCGGACCGGATCGGTCGATTCAATCGGTTTAATTGGGATCCGTTGTCTAGTCCGGTTCAATCTAAATCGGTTGAACCGTTACTAGTAAACCGGCCAGAACCGTTGAACCGTTCGAACCGGACCGGCTGAAAACTGGAAAAAACGGGAAATTTTGTTTTTTTTAAAAAATTAAACCAAACGTTGTTTGTTAAACGAGCCAAGTCGAACTCGAGTATTGCTGAGCTCGACTCAAACTTGAAAACTTTAAAAGTAAGCTCAACTCCACTCAAACTCACAAGTTAAAAATTATCAAGTTCAACTCGAACTCGAAATATAATATTGAAACTTGAACTCAAAAAGGCTTGAACTAAAAAAAATTTAGAAGCTCAATTGAAACCTAAAATTCGAG